CCCGCAGGACGTCGGCGGGGCCCCGGCGCTGGCGCCGCTCGCGCCTCAATGGGTTGGCGGCGCAGCGCGCACGCGCGGCCCGGGACTCTCTGTCGCTGAGCAGCGGCTCGGGCTGCGGCTCGGCCTCGGCCTCGGACGAAGATGCGGACGATGCGGACGGGGCGCTGGCGGCCGAGAGCACGCCTTTCCTCGGCCTGCGCGCGGGGCACGACTCGCTGCGCTCAGACTCGCCGCCGCTGTGTCCGGCGGCCGACAGCAGGACTTACTACTCCCTGGACAGCCACAGCACGCGGGCCAGCAGCAGACACAGCCGCGGGCCCCCGCCGCGGGGCAAGCAGGACTCGGCGCCCCTCTAGGGGCCCCCCCCGCCGCCTCGCCCGCCCAACGGTCGTTAAGGCGAACAGAGACCACCGACTGAGAGAGAGCGGAGGGCGGGCAAAGAAATAAAAAGATTTTTATTTTCTATAAAAGGAAAAAGTATAACAAAATGTTTTATTTTCATTTTAGCAAAAATTGTCTTATAATACTAGCTAACGGCAAAGACGTTTTTATAGGGAAACTATTTATATGTAACATCCTGATTTACAGCTTCGGAAAAAAAAGAAACAACAAAAAAAAAGAGAGATGGGCCAATTTTTTGACTCTTTAATAGAAACCTATATTGTGGTGCCTTTTGCTGTACGCTCATCTGGAGCTCCTGGAGAGAGGCGTGAGGTGCCGGGATGGAGGGAGTGCTGTGGGATCCCACTGGGGCAGCGGGGAGAAAGCAGGGCAAGGGGAGGCTGTGGGCTCCTCGTGGGGGGCAAGGGGGTGGGTGGGAAAGGTTGACCCTGGGAAAGGAAATGAGGAAGAAACAGCTTTGCCCCCGTCAAGCTGTGAAGTGCGGCATGGAAGTCCTAAAATGTAAAATGAAAGGACAGAGGCTGTAGCCCAGGCTGGTGGCCAGAGTTGGGATTGGTTATCGTCTTCGCAGGAAACAAAGGCCAGGGCACCCAGGATGAGGAGGGGCCTACACGCTCCTCCCAGTTGCTAAGTGAGGGCCTGAGAAAGAGGTCTACTTGGGGAAAGGGCAGCCCTGCCAGGGTCCCAGTGAACACGGCTCCCCCTCCCGTGGCCTCCAGGACGCCCCTCCGTCCTTGGCAGCACCTTCGTTTACAGGTTGTCTTTTCTATTTTCCACCTGCATGTCCTTTGCATTTCTGATTCTCTAGATTGGATGCATGGTCACGCCGGGACAGAGCCGCAGGACAGTGTACTGGATTCCCCACTTAGCAATAAAGTCACATTTTCTTCTCAGAGCCCACCTTACAGCCCCAGCCCACCTATAACTTCCACCCTTCCTCTTCCCATGACCCCCTAACTCCCAAAACTGGGTCCACAGAATCTCTTCTAATTTGTCAAAAAGATCAGTTATTTAAAAAAAAATTTCTTTTAATCTCAAACAGAAACAAATGAGAACTGCCCTGAAATGTCCAAACTCCTGTTGACACTTGAACATTTTTATATTATAAATAAAATCAAAAATCACTCATGTTTGATGGTGTGTGCCTGGCCCTCAGGTGAGGAGGGGTGACAGAGTCTGGCTGAGGGCCTGAGAGAGATGGAAGGATGTTGGTGTGGACCTAGGGTGGAGAGGGCCAGGCAGTCCCAAAGCAGAAGTGACAGGCTCCAACGATACCCCTCCAGCTTTCCCCACTTCCACTTTACTAGCTGTCCCCACTGGCTGCTAGGGAACCTGGCCAAGGGACTGACGCAAATTACCCCGCTTGAACTGGGCCTCAGAACCCTGGCCCAGTTCCTGCCCTGGAGCAGCAGGGGCCGGACTGAGGCAACAGTTTCTGGCCACAGGTGGGTGAGGAAGGAAGGATTGTGGGCTTGGCACTGGGGCAGCAGGGACATGACCCTTGGGGCCTCAGGCATGTCACTGACAGAGTCTAGACATGCCAGGTGGCATAATGGGTACCCTCTGTTGCCAGGAGGCCCACAGCTACTGCAGCTGGTAAGCCCACAGAGTGTTGCTCTTTCCCCAACTTTATACTCACCCCCCCCATCCCTCGCCACCTGCCCACCCCCCAGCCAGGGCCTGTCTAAACCTGCAGGCCTGATGAAGAGTATGTGATTCCAGGCGTTGCGAAGGCAGAACCACGAGGCTGCAATACAACACGAGGAGGTCTGTGTTCTTCCATCCAGAGAGCTAGGTGGGGAGGGGGTGTGTGTGGGGGGGTGTCTCCAGGAGGTGTGGCCAGCTTTAATTTGAGGACCTACAGATGGAAGGGACGTATAGGATTGTGGTGGGTCGCATCACACCAGGGCCCACTTCCCATACAGCTAGTGAGCTGTGCCCCTCACCAGCTGGGTGACTTCTCTAGGCTCCAGTTGGCACGACTGTGACATGTTGACGGGAATACCTCCCTCAAAGGGTTGCTGTGGAGACTAGATAAAGCACCCGGCACTGCTTTGGACACGTTTGATGATGATGATGATGATGATGACGACGATGTGACACCACGTGCCTTGCGTTCTTGATCACAGTCTAGTGGCAGAAACGATGAGAGAGAGACATGATGGAGAAAAGTAGGGAGCTAGAGGCATTCTTGTCACTGTGGGGCCTGGGAGCAAGTACCTGCTAAAAAGAAACAAAGGAAATGCAGGGACTAAGTGCTGCATCAAGCCACCCCTATGCTGACTCTGAGTTTGTGGTCCGCTTCAAATTTTCCCAAGAGCCAGTTATTCTTTTATGGGACCTCTGGCTTCTCTGATCCCAAGTTCCTCTGAATGACCTGGAAGA